TCTCTCGCTCGTGATGTGGGAGTTGTGGAAGCATTGGAACGCGGTGGTTTTCGATGGTGTGGCGCCTTCGGCCAATGACGTGCTTGACAGGGTGATGAGCGAGGGACGGGCATGGAAGGCGGCGGGACTGAACAAGCCGGATGTTGGAACCTTTTTTGGTTGCTTGACTAGGTGGGTAGTTGGAGATAGGTAATTAGCTAGTTAGCGTTTACCGTGGTTAGAGTGCCTTGTGTAACCCATGTAATCACATACTCCCTCCGTTTTTTTAGTTCGCATATTAGCTTTGGTCAAAGTCAAGCTTTACAAACTTTAACCAAGTTTATATATAAAAATATTAAGATATACAATAACAAATCAATAATATTAGATTTATTATTAAATGTACTTTCACATCATATAGATTTATTATGATAAATGTCTATATTGTTTTCTATAAACTTGATCAAACTTTACGAAGTTTGACTTCAGTCAACTCTAATATGCAGAGTAAATAAAAACGGAAGGAGTACAAGACACTCGTGGACGAGGCTCTTTACCCCATCTTGCTTCTTTAATGCATGATACACACACTCGTGCGTATTTCAAAAAAATATGTACACGTCTTTAGTTCTCTATGCTCACTTAATCTCGTTCACAACCGTCACTCATACGAATACGGTCATACCATCTGCATTTCGGCCGGCAACGGCGCGAAGATGTTGCACCGGCAGACCGGGCACGTCGAGTGCTCATGCAGCCACTGGTCGATGCACTGCTGGTGGAACATGTGCAGGCATGCCGGCATCCGCTTCACCGCGTCCCCCTTCTCCACCTCCCCGAGGCAGACCGCGCACTCCGACCTACCGCCGCCCTCCGGCTGCTCATAGGCCGGGATGCCATACGCCATCACCACCCGCGCGCCACCATGCACCGGTGGCTCCCGTGCCAGCGCGGGCATGTGACTCGGTGCCTGATCCAGAAACTGCGGCAGAGCGCTGCCGACGTTTCGGCGGGCGCGCACGCTCCGGCACAGCAGGCAGAGAAGCCGGCCCGCGCCACGGAGTGCCCTGTGGGCGGAGGCTAAGCACCAACGCAGCGCCGACCGCTGGAAGAAGTCGCGACAGGCGGCCGTGTACATGCAGGCCGTGACGCTGACCGAGAAGAGGAGGTAGACGGAGACCGCAACGATGGAGCCCTTGCTGTGGGGCTTCCGCGCCAGGCAGACTAACGCGTAGACCATCATGGCCGTTGCGCCGGTGCAGACGGTGTTGGCGATGGCCATCAAGAAGCAATCCATGGCCATGGCCTCTCGTATCTTGATTTGACCGTAGAACTAGCTAGCTATAGCTAAATAGGCCATCACCTCTATACTGGCTCAGTTTCTCAGGAATTTCGAAGTGTTTTGCGGGCTTAATCGCCTCGTCAAGTCTTCATCCCGCAAGAGTTCCAATGCGTACAGACCGGGGGGATCTCCTCCTTCTCCAAAAAAAAGAGTTCCAATGCGACAGGCGACGAAGCAAGCAACGAGCCATTGAGCCAACCATAGGAGGAACCGCGAGACAACTAACCGAGCGGTTGTTGTATAATGCGGTTAAATGTGTATAGATATGTAATAGTCCGTATATATGGTCGGCAGATTTCTACGGCGACCGTATACATTTAAAATGGTGCAAAGGTTGTTTTGCATGCAACGCTGGGGCCTTAAGTTACCTCCTTGATTTTTATTTCCATACAGAATCTCATTGAAATCACCGAAAACAATTCATGGTTGGTCAGCCAGTCTGTAGAGGGAGTGAAGATAATCCTACCCAAGTCAAGTGCTTCCGGTCAATCCTAGGTTCCCCGTATATGCCGGTGAGATGCCATCCCCACTTGCACTTGCACATCCATGAAACAAACAGATTTCAGGTTTTTCCCATGTTACATTGCCCTTTGGGTTTGGATTGTTTGCAGGTCGCAGCGTACCACCAGTAATTACTAACACTGATGTACTCCCTCCGTAAACTAATATAAAAGCGTTTAGAATACTAAAATAGTGATCTAAATGTTTTTATATTAGTTTATAGAGGGAGTAGTACTTTCACGTCTTTCAGTTCTCTGCGCTCAGTTATCTCTCATCACCAGCGTCACTCATACGTACGATCATACCATTTGGGCCGGCAACGGCGCGAAGAGATTGCACCGGCACACCGGGCATGTCGAGTGCTCGTGCAACCACGGATCGACGCATTGCTGGTGGAACATGTGCAGGCACACCGGCATCCGCTTCACCGCGTCCCCCTTCTCCACCTCCCCGAGGCAAATCGTGCACTCGGACCCGCCGCCGCCCTCCGGCTGCTCGTAAGCCGGGATGTCATTCGCCGTCACCGCTCGCGCGCCGCCATGCACCGGCGGCTCCCGGGCCAGCACGGGCATGTGGCTCGGTGTCTGGTCCAGATACTGCGGCAGAGCACCGCCGCCGCCGCTTCGGCGGGCGCGCGCGCACCGCCACGGCAGGCAGAGAAGCCGGCCCGCGCCACAGATTGCCCCGGGGATGCAGGCCAGGCACCGACTCAGCGCCGACAGCTGGAAGAGGTCGGCGCAGAAGGCCGTGTACACGCCGGCCGTGACGCTAACCCAGCAGAGGAGGAAGACGGAGGCCTCGACGATGGACACCTTGCTGTGGGGCTTCCGCGCCAGGTTGACGAACGCGTAGACGATCATGGCCGTGCCGCCGATGCAGACGGCGTTGGCGATGGCCAGCATGTACGCGCGGAAGAAGCAACCCATGGCCACGACCTCTCGTGTCTTGATTTGACCGTAGAACTGGCTAAGCTAGCTGCAAGAGTTCCAATGCGTACAGACGAAGCAAGCAACGAGCTCACCATAGGAGGAACCGAGGAAGAGACAACTAACCAAGCGGTTGTTGTTGTTGTATAGTACGATGAAATGTTGTGTACATATCTTAATATGGCCGGCAGTATTTCTACGGCGACCTTTTACATTTAGAATGGTGCAGAGGCTGTTTTGTTACCTAATGGTGCAGAGTAACATACACATAGGCGACCTTTTACATTTAGAATGACGCAGAGACCTTTTACATTTGGAGGCCGTTCGAAATCTCTCCGCTATGTAACTCCGCTGAGGAGCGAAGCGGTATTCAGCGGAATTTTGACAAGCCACCAAATGGGTGGTCCTCCCGCTCCGCTCCTTGGCAGAGGAGCGGAGTATTGCCGAACATAGTTTTAATATATAATATTGGGGCCTTTAAAGTTACCTTGTCGGTTTTTATTTTTATACAAAATCTCATTGAAATCACCAAAAACAATCCACACGGTGGATCAGCCCGTCCATAGAGAGAGTGAAGATATATCCGGTGATACGCCATGCCCTTTACATGGATTCGTTGTACGGATGCCAATGAAGTTTTTTTTACGGGCAATGGCAGGAGCTCTGCCTTTTCATTTAGTAGAGGGAAAGTTGTACAGAATGGCAACGAAATAGCCAAGGGGTAGGAGGAAAGAAAAGCCAGGTTACCAAGCGGCAACCAAGCCCGGAGAGAAAAAACAACTAAAACTCCCAAGGCCCAACAAAGAGGCCTATCTCATCTCTAATCATCGTATGAACTCCAGGTGCGGTTGTCGTCTTCTGTTGAAAAATCCTCCTATTTCGCTCGTTCCAAATATTCCAAGCAATGTATGCTGCCACCGTAGGTGCATGAAGATTGTCATGCAAGATCTTGCATCTGATTGAAGTCGTCCAGCAGGGCTGAATAGAGATGGCAGAAAGGATAGCAGAAGTGACTTCAAGGTGTGAAGACTGAAAGGAATGCCAAATCTCCTTGGCAAAATGATAGTCAAGCAAGAGGTGCTGCACAGACTCCGGAAGTTGATCACAGGTGCTGCAGCGATCATTGTGAGGCCATCCTCGAACCGCAAGGCGATCCGCAGTCCACAACCTGTTCTGGAGCAAGGTCCAAATGAAGAATCTGACCATAGGCTCAGCCTTGATTTTTCATGCATGTTAAAGTTGCGGCATTGCAATTCGAGTGATGAACTGAATGTTGTATGCAGACTTGGAGCTGTTATTGTGCAATTTTCTAGAAGTGTCATTTTCAGTTCCCTGTGCCAAAACACCTGCAAGCCTCTGCTTCTACCATCGCTTCCCACCACTCCCATCTCGTCAACTGCTTCTGGAGCTTCGGAAGCGTTCAAGTTGTCATAGATTTTCAGCCCCTCGCTACAACATGATTGAGAAAAAGAGGCATTTTGGCCAAGGCGTTTTTATAAACGCCTCAAAATCGTGCTCAAGGAGGCATGTTTATAAACTGCCTTAGCTGTATGCACCTTTGAAGGCATTTTTCAAAACCGTCTCAGGTTCTATGTAGCTTTGCAGATGTTTTTCAAATCGCCTCAAATCTAGTTAGCTTAGAAGGCGTTTTTTAGAATAGCATGGGAATCTTAAATATCGCCCTCAATCGCGCGCTGCGCTGTTTAAGATTCTTGGGCATCCATTTATACATATGTAATTGACTAAGGGCTAGTTCTTTTGGTGACTTAAAAATTAAACCATCTCTTTTCCAAAAAAAATCATAAGCCGCCTCCCTTGATTACTGGGGCTTCTGAGCTAGTTACAGGATAACTAATATAGAAGGCTCACTCATTTTTAAGAGCGGCTAATTTTTTAAGTCAGAAAGAGACAGCTTGTTTTTTAAGCCGCCCAAAAGAACTGGTTCAATAAGGCATGTTTTGGTACATAATCACAATTGATATGGTGGCGTAAATATTTTTCGTGAGCTACACGTGTATTTTTCTTGAAGCTTACACGTGTACATACGCGTCAAAAATTGCCCCACGTTCAGTTGACCCGAGTCTTCTACACTCACCTGCTGGCCGCTGCCAGTTTCCTCACCACTCCCGCGCCACACGTGTACTCACCTGCTGCCACCATTCCCGCGCCACACGTGTACTCACCTGCTGCCACCATTCCCGCGCCTTCCTTCCCCGAACCCTAACCCTCAGTCCTCACACCCACACCTCGCGATGCCCTCATCCTCCTCGTCCCGCCGTCGTCGAGGCAGGAGCGGCGGACGGCACGCCGCGGATGAGACGGAGACGAGGAACTGGGCGGAGCTGCCGCTGGACGCGATCTTGACCATCCTCCACAAGCTCGACCACGTCGACATCCTTATGGGGCCCGGCCAGGTGTGCCGCTCCTGGCGCGGCGCCGCCCGCGATGAGCCGGAGCTGTGGCGCCGCATCAACATGCTGGGCCACGCCGACCTCGAGAACGAGCTCAACCTCCACGGAATGGCCCAGGCCGCCGTCCGCCGCAGCGCGGGGAGGTGCGAGGCGTTCTGGGGCGAGTACGCCCGTGACCACGACTTCCTCTTCTATCTCGCCGACCAGTGAGATTCTGAATCCCCCCATCCCCTCCCCTGATTTCAGGGGCTTCCGTTTTGATTTGATTTGATTTGTTTCGCATTGGCTACGCGCTCTGTTTCCATTGTTATTCCCTGCAATGTATGTGCTTTGGGTCTCGTTTACTGTCCGCGGAAAAAATCGCTAGAAATTTTGCGTCCGTGCTCCGTAGGAATCATGCAATTTTATCGTGCTCCTTAGAAAGAGAGTTTCCTCTCCGATTTCTAACATTACAAACCATAGGTTCTTCGGAGTACATAGAGTTTAGCAAAGGGTAAAATGCAGACATGAACATGAACCTGTTCCTCTGTACCAGCTCTCAGTCCATGATTCAGTTGGATGCTGAGTTTCCATCCAACCAAAAATTGATGTTATGTTGGCAGCCTATGCATTGATCCTATACAATGGGGAAGGCTTTTTTGGTTTGGTTTGAAACAGAATACAGTTGCGAGTTAACTTTTCAGGGCTTTTGAGCATTTTCTGGGGAAGCAGTCAAATTGGCAATAATTTGAGTTATGTTAATTCTTAAACAGAACGAACTCAGCTGAGTTCATACGCTAGGGTGCAGAATTTAACCTAATATGCAACCTGCTATTACAGGCATCGACAAGTTAGCATGCCTGAAATGTTCACTGTCAAATCTAACAATTGATTCTGAAAGTTTCCAACCATAGGATGATTCTGACACTGCCTCAAATTCTATTCCGCTGAATTTCTCATATCCCAACATTTAGCCACCGCCAAGTGATCGATGTACCCCGCAACACACACATGAACCTTTTCCTCTGTGCCCACCTCTTATTTATAAGAAATGTTCAGTTTACATCCAACCAGATATTGATGTTGCGTCGTCAGCCTATGCATGGTCTGGCATTGAACTCAGTCGGGTACTTCACGTATTCGTTTCTTTCTCTTATCCCAACATTTAGCCACCCTCAGGTGATCGATGTACCCCGCAACATGCACATGAACCTATTCCTCTGTGCCCACTGTTAGAGTTAACCTTGTTGTTTTGTTTTTCATCATATTTATTTAGTAGTCATGCACGTAGTCATGTCAAGTTGTAAGCGCCGCCTGACCCGTGTGTGGCACTAAATTGTGGATGTGCCGTTCCATTAGTAGCATGCATGCATGGATGGATTAGTTAGCTAGCTATGGAGCCGGAGCATCCGAGTCGCGAGGCAGTTCTGCGTGGAGGAAGAATAGGAAGCAATTAGTTGAGGCTTGGTCCTATACGTGTGTATCCAAAGATTCTGCAGACTTGGCTGTTACCCAAGCGTGTGTGTAGCTAGCCCGTGGAGTACTAATCAGATCAAGCAACCGTGGGCTTGACCTGACCATGCATGCGTGTGTGCGTGGGGTTAGTGGGTGCGTGTGTGAGTCCTGTACTTGGCTATTTAAGTTGAACAAGTGAATGTAAAAGGTGTGGCCGTGAGGGCTGGGCAAAACAATGTAGTGTATGTGTGTCTCACCGGGAGTAGAAAGCAAAGCTAGTCTCTCTCCACGGTGAGGTGTGTGTGTATGTGTGGGTTTCTGAGTTTTTCCCACCATGTGCATTCGTGTGTTCTTGAGAGAAGAACAAAGCAACAGAGAAGAGAGAGTTGAGTTGTGTGAGATAGAGGAAGAAGAAGAGTGGCGCTGCACTGCGAGGAGGCGGCGCCAACACCCACCTCTCATTTATAATGAATATTCAGTTTACATCCAACCAGACATTGATGTTGCGTCTTCAGCCTATGCATGGTCTGGCATTGAACTCAGTCAGGTACTTCACGTATTCGTTTCATAATGCAATGTGGGCGGCTTCTTTGGATTGGTTCGAGGAAAACTACATTTGGAAGTTAGCTTTTCAGGCTTCTGACCATTTCCTGGTGAAACTGTCGAATTCGCAATAATTTGAGTTAAATGTTATGGTTACACAGAACGAACTCAGCTGAGTACATATGTCAGAGTGCAACTTATATGCAATCTGCAATTGCAGACATCGACAAGTTAGCATCCCTGAAATATTCTCTGTTCAACCTAACAATTAATCATTAAGTTAATTCTAAAACCCTCTAAATTGTGTACCTGTGATGCTATGCAATGATCTGAATTTATGAAATGTTCTATGCGTGGACTGTGATTGGAGCTATGCAAGTCTTTCAAAACATACACTCTAGCTGCCTGTTTTATACACACAGCATATTTATTGGTTATTGAGATCCAAGTGTTAATTTGCAGGGCACCATCTCTTAAGAGTCTTCGCCTCATTTCTTGCTATGATAGACTTACAGAGGCGATAATGAAGTTCCATTTGCTTGAGGAGCTCGAGCTTTCACTCTGTCCAAATGTGAATGACAGTGGTGTCTTTGGGGTTATCGGCAAAGCATGCCCACAACTGAAGCGCTTCAGACTGAGCAAGGATGTGTTCTGTGATTTTGAAGCTAGTGTCTATGGAAAGGACGAGGAAGCCTTGGGGATTGCGACTATGCACGAGCTACGCTCTTTGCAGCTGTTTGGCAATATCCTCACCAACAAAGGACTGACAGCCATCCTGGACAATTGCCGCCATCTGGAGTCCCTTGACATCGGCCACTGTTTCAACGTCACCATGGATGACGCCCTGCGTGCAAAGTGTGCCAGGATAAGCACACTGATGCTTCCGAATGACTCAACCGATGACTATGACTTGGTTGTTAAGAGCCCTATTCGTGCGGATTCAGAGTCCTTTCTGCATGATTATATGGGATCCTGTTCTGACTACGAGCTTGGCTCGGAAGATTACGGCGACTACTGCGATCTTTCCCGCTACCTTGATGGTGTGTACGAGGATGAGGACGAGCTTGACGAAGAAGGTAAGATGATTCTCGGTGGCATGCGCATGTTTATGAAGTAAACTCCATGGCGATGTTGGATCGAAGTGACTGGATGTTCCACCTTTCTTTTGCCGAAGCATCTGGACTAAACCAGGCATGGCCTGTACTTTGCCGCTTCTGCCAGTGGCATGGATCCGCTTCTGCGTCGACTTCCCCTAGAATATCGTAGACCCTGTTTCGTGCTCTGTAGTGTAGTGTAAAAAACTGCTCTTATATTATGAGACGGAGGGAGTAGTTACTAGTGAAGCGTGTGGTGTGTTAGTAGTCCTTTACCTTTGCAGTTTAGTTAGACGTCGCTGTGAAATATGCTCTGCGGTAAGTACTGGTTTGCTTAGTTGTTGTAATGAAGAACTCAGCCTGTTTTATCGGTGCCTGTGGCTGTGATTCCGGCACCCATTCGCTGACGCTGGCGCCAAGAGCTGGGAAGCTCCAACCTCCGGCGCCAAGAGCTGCAGCAAAACGACGCCGGCACATCGCCTGACAGAGTACAGTATATATTATTCTTATTGCATAACTGTATTTCCACACATCCTCACATCAGGCATTACTAATTATTATAAGAAACAGTAAATGGGGCTAGTTACGAGCTCTCTCAGCTACCTGAACTCGTGAGCCATCCGATTAATCTCACCAACGGAGTGGGTGTTTCCTTGGAAAAGAAACCCAACGGAGTGGATGTTTCCTTGGAAAAAAACCTAAGGGAGTGGATGTTTCCCTGAAAAAAGAAACCAAAGGAACGGAGTGGTTGTTTCCCTGGAAAAAAAAACCCCAACGGAGTGGATGTTGCTAACGTCCCGCTATGTCCTCTTGGGCCTGCCGCGCCACTTCTCCAGAGCAGGCCAAGACAAAGTAAAATGGGCCGCTGCTCCGCATTTACCCCTCGATCAGCACATCCTAGTGTTGATGGAGGGGTGACATCTGTTCTACCCGTGAACTTACGCACCACCGCCTGCGCCTCCTCTTCCGGCATCCGTCCATGGCACCACCTCCTTACCTTAGTCACATTTTTTAAAATGTCATTAATTGCTTATGAGTTTTCTTCCTTCCTGCTATCAAGAGGACAACTGCGACTCCGTGAGACTGTCCCTGTTTGTTGCCATGGATCACCTCCGCGAGCACCTCCATGGGTATGCTAACCTCATCCACATCCTTCCACACCCTTCTAACCACCACAATCCCCATAGTACACCACGGATTGTGCTAGGGTTTCGACACGAAATGTTAGTGCCTGTGTTGAAAGGTCGATGTAGGGACTGTCTCCAGGCTTATTGCTCATCGCATCATGTTTTCTGTTGTTAAATTTAGATGATTTTGGTTCTTATACAGTTTACATTTCAAGCAATTACCAACTTTCACAATTTTTCTTTGATTGGCAGGGGTTAGTTGCATTTTTATTGTTTTTTCTTCCCTGAATTTATCTGTCTCCCGTTTTGATCAGTTGAGATGGCATATAGAAGGTAAATCCTGGGTTTCATGTATAGGATTGAAGTTTTTAGATGCATATTAGTTATTTACGTTGTACTATAAATCTGGAGGTTAGAATCACAGTTGATGAAGTCATACTTGCGGAAAGTATTGGCTTCTTGGGTTGTTGATAAACATGAATGAACGATCTTCTTTAGGAGATTAAGTAAGTTTGTCTATAAGGTACTCCCTCCGTTCCATAATATAAGAACATTTTTATTGAAGAAAATATGCCCTAGAGGCAATAATAAAGTTGTTATTTATATTTCCTTATATCATGATAAATGTTTATTATTCATGTTAGAATTGTATTAACCGGAAACTTAGTACATGTGTGAATACATAGACAAACAGAGTGTCCCTAGTATGCCTCTACTTGACTAGCTCGTTAATCAAAGATGGTTAAGTTTCCTAGCCATGGACATGTGTTGTCATTTGATGAACGGGATCACATCATTAGAGAATGATGTGATGGACTAGACCCATCCATTAGATTAGCACTATGATCGTTTAGTTTATTGCTATTGCTTTCTTCATAGCTTATACATGTTCCTATGACTATGAGATTATGCAACTCCCGAATACCGGAGGAACACCTTGTGTGCTATCAAACGTCACAACGTAACTGGGTGATTATAAAGATGCTCTACAGGTGTCTCCGATGGTATTTGTTGAGTTGGCATAGATTGAGATTAGGATTTGTCACTCCGTGTATCGGAGAGGTATCTCTGGGCCCTCTCGGTAATACACACCACTATGAGCCTTGCAAGCAATGTGACTAAAGAATTAGTCACGGGATGATGCATTACGGAACGAGTAAAGAGACTTGCCAGTGACGAGATTGAACTAGGTATGATGATACCGATGATGGAATCTCGGGCAAGTAACATACCGATGACAAAGGGAACAACGTATGTTGTTATGCGGTTTGACTGATAAAGATCTTCGTAGAATATGTAGGAACCAATATGAGCATCCAGGTTCCGCTATTGGTTATTGACCGGAGATGAGTCTCGGTCATGTCTACATAGTTCTCGAACCCGTAGGGTCCGCACGCTTAGCGTTCGATGATGATATGTATTATGAGCTGTGTGATTTGATGTACCGAAGGTTGTTCGGAGTCCCGGATGTGATCACAGACATGACGAGGAGTCTCAAAATAGTCGAGACATAAAGATTCATATATTGGAAGGCTACAGTCGGACAACGGAATGGTTCGGGTCGTTTCGAAGTACCGGGGGTTACCGGACCCCCCCCCCTCGCGGGAAGTTATTGGTCCTCATGGGCCTAGTGGTGGTAGAGAGAAGGCAGGCCAAAAGGTGGTGTCGTGGTTCTAAGCCTGACAGTAGAGTGGGGGGTAGTTATGGAGAGGCAAGGTCCTAGCTATGGAGAGGTTGTAAGCACAAAGGATGTACGAGTTCAGGCCCTTCTCGGAAGAAGTAACAGCCCTACGTCTCGGAGCCCGGAGGCGGTCGAGTGGATTATGAATGTATGAATTACAAGGTGCCGAACCCTTCTGCCTGTGGAGGGGGTGGCTTATATAGAGTGCGCCAGGACCCCAGCCAGCCCACGTAGGAGAGGGTTTAAGGTGAGTTAAGTCTGGGGCGTTACTGGTAACGCCCCACATAAAGGCCTTTACTATCATAAAGTCTACTTGATTACAGGCCGTTGCAGTGCAGAGTGCCTCTTGACCTCCTGGTGGTCGAGTGGGTCTTCGTGGTCGAGTCCTTCAGGCCAGTCGAGTGAATCCTCTTTGGTCGACTGGAAGGCGACCTCTTCTAAGGATGTCCTAGGGTAAGTTACTTGGATCAGGTCCATGACCCTACCCTAGGTACATAACCCCATCATTATCCCCCGAATGGATTGAGGCTTCGAGTGAAGAAGGAGTTGATGTCGTTTCCGATTAACCTTTGCGCTCCGGTTGTGCGCTGTTCTGGACCAAAGAATCTCTTTGTCGACAGGAAACAACTTGCCTTCAGTCGACTTGATCCATTCTGTTTTTGCGTCGAGTGATCTTTCAGGCTTCGACGATCTCCGAGCGACGGATCGCCGGAAACACCGCGCCTGACAGACTGATTTGTTGCTCGCGGATTCCGCGGGATGCGAAATTTTGGGGCGCGCGCGAAGCGGGGCGGACCGCGGCGTTCGGATGGGACGGGGCATGGACGCCTCGATCTCCGCGCCGCCTTTTTCGCCACGTATCCCGTCTGCATAACTGTTCCAGATATGATTAGATCGACCGGGCCCACCTGTCATCCACTCGGAAGGGACCTTATAAATGTGCCCGGCGAGGATTTCTGTGCTGCGCCTTAGCATTCTCCCCCTCTCTCTGCTTCCTTCCTCCCTGCTCAGCGTGCTCGCTCTCGCCCCCGCACCACTTCCCTTCGCGCATCTCGCCGGTGACCATGGCCAAGGAGAAGACGGTGGCGCTGGAGCGTGCAAAGAAGGCGTCGGCGTCGGAGAAGGCGAAGGGGAGATCCACCAGCCGCGGAGGGTCCTCGTCCAGATCCCGCCTGCCGAAAGGCTGGGTCCAAGGAGACTGGATCCAGTCAACCATCACTGAGAATGACATTCTCGACATGGCCAACGAGGGCTTGATCCCCCACGGAGCTGCGAGGCTTCCGGGGAAGGAGTGGCAGCCTCAGCCAGAAGAGGGTGAATGTGTGCTTTTGGCCACCCATGTGGATCGTGGGTTTTCCTTGCCGCCGAGTGTTTTCTTTCGTGGCTTCTTGAATTTCTTCGGAGCACAGCTCCACCATTTTACCCCAAACTCCATTGCCTATCTTGCTGCGTTCGTGTCCATGTGTGAGGGTTTCTTGGGCTGTCGACCGCACTGGGGTTTGTTCAAGCATATATTCACGTGTCGCTCTCAGACCGTGAAGAAGGTGAGTCCAGGCGACGAAAAGACCCGAGTCGTCCAAATGTGTGGGGGTTTGGGCATCCAGGTGAGGAACAAGAGCACCTTTCCGCCCATGACCTTTCCCGAGTCAGTCAGAGGCTGGCAGTCGACCTGGTTCTACTGCCGGGACCAGTCGACGCCGGGACAGTCGAGTGGACTCCCACAGTTTACCATGGACCGAGTGAACAAGCCCTCCTCTCTGAAGTTGATCCCGGAGGAGAAAGCTGATGTGAAGATGTTGATGGAGCGCGTGGTGCAGTTGGTTCGGGAGGGAGTGACGGGCATGGATCTCCTGGAGGTCTTCCTCAGGCGTCGCATCCAGCCCCTCCAGTTCCGGAGCCACTGCATGTGGTTGTACTGTGGGACCGAAGACGAGACTAGAGTCCATCCAGAAGCAGTCGACGATGTCACTCTGGAAAGATGGATGGCAGCCGTCACCGGAAACAAGGACAACCCACGCGGAGCCAGAAGGATTCCTCCACTCGACCACAACAGTTATCCAAATAAGGTACACTTGCCCTGCTCTCCACTGCATTCTTGTCGCATTCATCTCTGTCCACTCTGCCGACTGGTCGACTGATCATTGTCTTGATATCCGCTAGGCCCTCACCGAGCTGTACTCGATGCCCAATGGGGCACAAACTCCGACTGAGGAGG